AGCGCCACCCGCGTCCCTATGGAACGCAGGTGCAAAAGTTACTAGCCTACAATTCATTATTAGCCCGCCTACATCTGCCTGTTTTCATTTGGGGTATATCTACAGCCTGAAAGAAGGAAAAGAATCAACCTGTAGCACTTCAGATTTTGTGGGACTCTGAACTCCCATCAGCTCTAGTCAGCGTAGCCAGGAGCTAAGGATTATGAGAGCTAAGGAATATGGGAGCTAGGGAGTATGGGAGTATCTTGAAGGCCACATGTGCCACAAAGCAATCGGTGACTATTTGCAAGGCTTTTTTTATTCTGAAAATACAGAGAGATACTGGGTTCATTCAGCTGTGGTCAGAGAGTATTCCTAAATTCAGAGTCTTGAGCTTCCTCTCTTCCCTCCTCCAGTGGATCTACAAGGAAATGAGAAGCTTTCACTTCTTCTTTTTCAATGGACTGTGGTTACTCATGTCTGAACCCAGAATAAATTATATTTTGGCCTGTTTCCCTAAACCATAGTTAAGGTTAACCACAGTTCTGGGTTTGGAAAGAATAATAAATCATGTTTAATTGAAAATGGAAGCAAAGGTTTTTGATTTCCTCCTTGCAGCCACACTGCAAGTGGGGATTTGGCATTATGTCTGAACTCTGTATCCATGACTGCTCAGGAAGCAGATTTGCACAACCAAGTGAACTAGTTAATGTGGGAATGGTTTACAATAGCTTGAATGTGATTTAGGTTGCACTCTTGGCCTTTGGACTCAGTTATCCTGCCCAACGTGTAGAGTGGAATTGGAAGATTTTAAATTTTAAGGAATGGTTTTTAACATTAATAAATGTTTTAACACAGTTTCAAAGTTACTTGGATTATCTGCTTTCATAGTTTTTATGCATCTCTACTTAGATGTAAGACCTAGCTAAGTGGAAGTAGGACTGCAGGGGCTGAAAAATCACTCTCGTTCCAAGGGTTCAGACTAATAAGTCCTATAATTTTACATCAGTGTTCAGCCCCATTAGTGCTCCTATTGGATGCATAGCAGCAGGGCTTGGTGAGTTGCATCTGGAGAATTTCGTGACCACCGTGTGATCACTTGCTTATGGAGGCTGCTCAGATTTGCAGATTTGGAATCTTGTGTTTTCTCATTCATAAAGCAAAAACACAATTCTGCTGTTCCGCACAAAGTCGCCCCAAACCTGCTTCATGTTTTCCTTCCCAGTCTTGGCTACTCATTTCAGAGCAAAAACATGAAAGCAATGAAGGGTTTTTTTGTGATTATCATCAGCATCTTTTATGTGTGCTGCTAGTGTCAATAGCAGTAGTAGAAGTGGCATCTTGTCAACGATAGGGTTGATTGTAAGCAGACGATTGTATTGGTTTTAGGAGAATTGAAACTGACTGTGTGGGCTCAGTGTGAAATAGTTACCCTTGTTCATCATATTGAATCTACAGCACACAAGTTCAGTCACATCTCCATTATCTGCCATTAGCTTACTGATTTCTTCTTTTCCTTCCTAGGTTTGATATTGCCTAATGGAGATATCAACTGGAATTGCCCTTGCCTTGGCGGAATGGCGAGTGGTCCTTGCGGGGAACAATTCAAGTCCGCCTTTTCCTGTTTCCATTATAGCAAGGAAGAAATAAAGGGATCCGATTGTGTGGACCAGTTTCGTGCAATGCAGGAGTGCATGCAGAAGTACCCAGAGCTGTACCCCCAAGAAGATGATGACGATGAAGAAGATGAAGAAAAGCAGGGCAAAACTCTAGAAGCTGCTGCTGCTTCTGTAACCAAAGAGGAAGAGAAGGGATCCAGCTAATGAAGCTCCACGGAGGCTTTGGTCTCCTTTCCAACTTCAAAGACACACTATAACTTATGCAAAGCATCTTCTCTCCCTTCCCTTCCCTTCCCTTCCCTTCCCTTCCCTCCCTCTCTGCCCCTTCTCCCGATCCTTCAAGGAGCACCCTTCACCTCTCTTCAGTGCACTGTGTCCTGTGAAATTACTTGCTGCAAGGAAGTAAGACACCTTGGCCTCATGGTCTCAATAATGCTGCAAAGAGGTCAGTGCATAGCAGGGGGACAACCCATTCTCAGGCACTGCCGCTGCTTTAATAGTTATTTCCTTCTCCAGTCATGTTAAGTTTGCAGGTTGACTTGAACAAGACTAGTAGAGAGGTGGAGCCAGCACACAATCTGGAGGAAATCCGTCAGCAAGGATGTCCGGTCAGGGTTGATTTTCAGTGATTGTCTCAGATATTCCCAATGCTTCTTTGGGGTGGGGTGGGAGGCATAAAACTCTTAAAATTGATTCAGAAACTGTTGAGAATGATTGAAGTTTTCATTTGTACAGTTTATATGCTTTAATAGCATGTGAAATTTGCATACGCTACTGATTTCTGGTAATGGAAAATTATTGTGTGTGTAAAGGGAGGGGAAATGATTTTTGCATTAATTTTTTTTCCCCAAAAGTGTTGATCAGGTCTTGATTTCACTGAGTCGATAGGGGAGAATGCTCACTACTGTTTCTCAATGTTCCTGATCAACCCTGCTTTTGTGGGATTCCTCTCTGTTCAAGCCTGTCACTTCTCCAGACAGGTTGCTAAAATAGATGCCCTTGACAAGGAAATTGCAATGTTACCTGGTGTAACATCCTCTGACTAGATAATTGTGACTAGAGTGTACATTAAAGGCAAAACCTTTCTAACTTGCATTGAAGCCTTCATGTCTTTCATTAATGCTGGCGATTGATTACTCAATTCTTTTCCTGTTGCTGTTGTAGCCAAGCTACTGTATCCTGGAAGATGCACGCTAGCAGAACTACACTGTGTTACTTAGATTTATGGATTTTTGTGTCTAGTAGGCGAGGTTACGCTCCAAGCATATCTTTAGCAAGCAAGTACAGTGTGTGCTGAAATCAAGCCGAATTAAAATCTCCAAAATATTTTAACACAATTGCTGTACCTTGCTGCTTGCTGGTACAGTAAGAACATCATATGCAAACACTTGATGAACCTTCTGGATCAGGCCAAGGGCCCATCAAGTCCAGCATCCTGTCGTCACAGAGGCCAACCAGACGCCTATGGGAGACCTGAAAACTGGACAGGAGCACAACAGCACTCTCTGCATTGGCGATTTCCAGCAACTGGCATTCAGAGACATAATGCCTCTTGCCAGTGGAGGTAGAACATGGCTAAGCTGCCTAGTAGCCGACGATAACCTTGTCTTCCATGGATTTGTCTAAACCTCTTTCAAAGCCGGCCAAGTTGGTGTATGTTTACAGTGGTGTTAATGAGCTTCCAAGTGTTACCAATTGTCACTTTAGCAGCATATTATCCTCTGCGCAGACACCAGACTGTTAAATGTGTTGCAAGTGGCTCTCCTTGCTGCCTCTTTTCTTAAGTGCCGCCTGATTTCTATCATTCACTTTTCATTTAACGAAGTGGAGTGGAAGTACCAGCTCTCTGTCAGCAGTTCACTCCTGGGATGGATAGCAGGCATTTCGAAAGCGCATTCTACTCTTTTTTTAAAGAGAGAAAGAGCATGAAAAGGCCTCTCAGTCTGCATACAGAGTAGGCCACGAAACAGGTGCCAAAAGTGCAGAAGTGATAAAAGCTTGGCGCCTAAGCCGCTGGCCCAAAGAGATGGAGCCTCGAGTGATCAGATAAAATATGGGGCACTTGTTAAGAGTGGGGTTTACCTGGACCTGTCATTTCTGAAAAGGAAACTCAGCTGGCTGGGTATTAAGGCAAACAAGTTGCCAGCCTTTGTATTTTCTCATCTCCTTTCTCATGCCTTTTTTCTTTCTTTCACATTTTGAAAATGATTTATAACAGTGTTTACAGAATCTGGGTGTTAATGTGCCTTTTGCAAGAGACTGGGAGAAGCTTCTTTGTGTGGCCATCCCACAACAGTCCTGCCAGCCTTTGAACACCGTAGGACAGGCATAGGCAAACTTGGCCCTCCAGATGTTTTGGGACTACAGCTCCCATGATCCCTAGCTAACAGGTCCAGTGGTCAAGGATGATGGGAATTGTAGTCCCAAAACTTCTGGAGGTCCGAGTTTGCCTATGCCTGCCATAGGACCTAAGGGCCACCATGGGAAATGGCTCTCTTGTTGCTCCTGTAAGGCCTCAAGGCAGCCACAGATTTACATATGAAGATATTGGCCCCCATTTTAGAACCTGTCTAGCGTGAGCAGGGAGGAGTGAGAAGGAAGAGGATTCTTCAGTAATGGCTTATTTTTAAGGTACAGTATTTACCTTTCAGAACTTCATTTTCAGCATTTAGTAAACACCAGTATTTATTTGGGTGGGGCATGTGTAACCAACAGAGCAGTTGCAAACATGTCCGGTCTACGTGCTTTCTGTTTCCCGTTCTGTGATGCGAGAACAGAAATCGGCATAATTCTAGTTCACAAGCACGTGAAACAATATGCATATTGCAAGTTTGCTTTTATAAAGCGAATAGAAGTCCAAAAATGTGGTGCATGGGCCTGTTGTGAAATTGCCCAGTTTAGGGCATTCCATTAAGACCCTCATTCCTCTCTGGTTCTTGCCTCTTAAAACAGGGATCACCAAGGTGGCGCCCTCCAGCTGTTGTTGGACTCCAGCTCCCATCAGCCCCAAGCAGCATAGCTAGTGGCCAAGGATGGGAGTTGTAGTCCAAGAGCACATGGAGGGGGCCCCCATTGGTTATCCGAGTTCCAGAACAGCCTTTCTCAACTATGGGTCCCCAGATGTTGTTGGACTACAACTCCCATCATCCCTGACTACTGGACCTGCTAGCTAGGGATGATGGGAGTTATAGTTCAAAAACACCTGGGAACCCAAAAGTAAGAAAGGCTGCTCTAAGAACATAACTTTTTCTTCCCCCAATCCTTCTGCCATCATTTCTCCTGTCCAGTTAATAAACTCATTTTTGCCACTCCATGTAAGTCAAGGGATTTTGAGCCTAAGTATTATTTGCCCATGCACCTTGTTTTTTGGTACCCACAAAACTGCAGGTACAAAAGCAGATCTACGTTAATCCATTTTTATATGGATGAGCTATAGCAATATTTAGCTAGCCTCTTTACATCACTGAATGCTTCTTGTCATAACAAAATATGAAGGAGTCAGTGTTACATTTAGACAATATAATATAAATGTAGTTTACAATACTGTATCCAGTTTGACTTTAGCACTTTTAATGAAAACTGTGAGCAACTAGAAGTAATGGCTTCTACTCATAGATTACCTGAAATGCATACCGGAGTCTAAATAAAAGAACAATTGTATGTAGAAGGCCTTGGCCTGTGGTTAAGTACGAGCATTTTTTCACATCGGACAGTGTTTCCCATAACCTACAGATAACCTTTCCACGTGTTTAAGTGAAGTTAGATTTCCATTTCTCTTGCAGCCGAGTGGCATTCAAAACAAACTTCACAATCTTTAGGACAAGTAATATCTGAGCAACGCATCTTCTATTCTCCCATTACAATTGATGAAAATGTGTCCCTAATGGATGCCTGACTTCAAATGGAAGCCTTCAGTTAAGCCAGTCTGGGCAATATTACATCTTTGTAAACGCTAAGGAATGCAAGTCTCCTTGCCTTGTAATATCTTTTCAATAGACTGCCCTGTGTGACCCAAGTTTCATGTTCCAGGTGTGACTTCTGTAGACAACACCATTTCAAGCTCATGGAGGTACACTCACTTTTTGTGTATGGACCTAGCAATTTCTCTGCAAGACTGACCTCACGCAAAAAGGTTTGGCATATTGCAATAGAAGCTAGCTGTATAGAGAACTGATGGGCCTGAGCGGTTTTGCAAGATGTTAAAAACTTCTTGTTTTTTAAAAGGAATAAATGTGCACGCAGTGATTTGCAAACTAAAAAGTAGATACAGAGGGGAAAGCACAACTAGTGTGTCCTTCGGTAAGATGTCAGCCGTGGGGGTGATGAGGAGCTCTCAAGCTGCAGAAGAAAGTAACTGCAGCAAGTCTGGATTGTTGTGTGTGTGTGTGTGTGTGTGTGTGTGTGTGTGTATTTGTAAGCATCTTGAGCCTCTTCCAATGGACAAACATGTCCTGTTAGCTGTATCTGGCTACCTGATTCGAGGGGTGGCAGGTCTGGTGAAAGCTGCACTTTACACATGGTTTAGAGTGACATGAGCAAGCAGGACAGGGCTGCAGCAAAATAAGCCTATGTCCCCTCTCATCTCATGGGCCAGGAGTAGTTTGAAAGCTTTTGCTTAGCCCATGGTTTGCTTTTTCATTTGGACTGGCATGAGCTCTTGTTAGTTTCAAACAAGGCAACTTCAAACCATAGTTAACTGCAGCGGGCTTGTTTAAACTTAACATAGTCATGATGAGCCGCAGATGGCACAGTAAACTGTGGTTAGTCAGAAGCAGAAGCTTTCAATCTGCCAGCTATGCAGGAAGAGGAGGGGAAAGAGTATGAGCCTGTGAGACACACACACATGCTAAACCATGGTTCAGTGTAGCAAGCAAAGGTAGCCTTTGTATCTTTGCAGATTTCTGTGTGCCTTGACTAGCCAGGACATGGAACGCTACTTGCCAGCCTTGCAGGCGATGCAAGATGCAGTTACATGAGTGTTGTGTGCCTGCCCACAAGTGCTTCAGGTCTTCAGGAATTGTAGAATCAGAATTGTAGAGTTGTAGTCCAGTCCTCTGCACTGCAGGAATCACAGCTAAATCAGTAAAAGAAGGCAAGATCAATAAGACAGGTGTCGTGTTTCTTAAAGGCCAACACTTAAGCATTTTCATGGTGCCATTCTCTTTCAACCAACCAACAGAAAATAGAGAATACCAGCAGCACTAGTTGACCATCTTTGTTTCATATTAGAGAAGAGAGCTCTTTGAGAAGCCCTGCTCTTAAACGGAACGTACTTGCTGCAGGCAAGTGGTTGCTGGCAGCTATAACCCCAACAGTTTTTACATGAAATATTAGCAGGACAGCACTTGAGACTCAAATATTATCTTGGAAAGAGCAGATCAGAATAACCACATGGCTGTTCCCAGAGGTAGCCGATGTTTCCTTGAATGTATGTCTCACTAGCGGCCCTGCAACCTCTTCTGCGGTGGTTTGGTGAATCTACCAACGCCAAACCAAATCAACTTCCAGGATTTCTTTCACTACTTGCATGCAGAAACTGTGGGCCGGTGCTGCATTCTTCCCTCACAAAGGAATCATCGGTGCTGCACAAGCCCTTAGCAGAAATCCTCCTGAAATTTGCGTGGTGCAATGGATGCCGGGGGGAGGGCAAGCTGGGAGAAGACCTTTGATGAGAGCAGGTGGGCTCAAAGTTAAAGCCAGAACTATTGTTGATTTGGTGCACGTATTGAGAGAACAGCCCTAGAGAAGGCAAATGATCCAACTCTCCACTCATCAGTCTTTGTAATCGCTAATCCAACTCTCCCCACCTACCACTTCCCCCAGAAGCTCTGTGAAAGAACGGAGGTGAAGTCCATTGAGACTCCTGCCTGCAGGATCAGACCCCAGCCATGCCCCCCTCCCTGTACGCAGTGCACACACTTCCCAGAATCCCCCAAGGGGCTAAGTCCTGGGAAGGCGTTCAGCCTCTTCTACCATCTCACAGGCTCTGCCTGTTTGCTTCTCTGGTGGCAAAGTTCGGACACAGACAACATAAATCTACAGAATCTTTCCATCCCGGTGCAAATGCTGAGGGCGCACGTACACACTCTTTAAGGACCCCCAAAGGCTGCGTATGTTATTCTAACTGTAGCTTGCTTAGTGAGCTGAAAAGATTGCCAAATAAAGCGGGAGTCATGTGACAGGCCAACCGTTGAGCATGTTGTCGCTCCAAAGCTCGACAAAGTTGTTTGCTCATCCTTTATGGCTGCTTCAAAAAAGCCACCCACCCACCCTGAAACAAATGCTTTAGTGAAGCAGCTGTACGTTTATGCGTTAGTAGTATCAGGATGGGACTTGAAAGCATCAATGTGGGGTGCATTTTGTAATCTTGACACTGGCTGGGGGGGCGGGGTTTAGCTCTGGATAAACGATGTGGGCAAGCTATAAGCTGTGATTCCTAGGCAAACAAAGTTAAGGGTTGAGGTTTCCAAGTCTGTGTGGGCTGGGATTGTTTGTCACTGTCCTTTGTCGTTGTCCTTTGATTCTTGGAAGAAAGAACTCAAGGCACAAGATGCCTCCCTAAAACACAAAATATGACGGGGGTGGGGAGGGAGAGATTCTGTTTTTAAATTCCCCTTAGGAATGTTCTGATAGACAACAAGAGAACTACTTAGGCCTTTCACTGCAATATTACTAACATATGCAAAGTCTGTGGCTTTTGCTTTGAAAGAAGGTATTATTTGCATCCAGTTCGAAGCATGTCTGCGACTAGTTTCCCCCAGTGAGCTTTCCAGGGCTTCACCAGGCTGTTCATGTTCACGAGAAGTTTGTTAGTCCGTGTGTCTTCCTGTCCTGCTATCAGATAGTCTACACCTGGTTTGGAAAAAGAACAGCAAGGTGTTAGAAAAAGAGTAAATTCTAAATCCACCAGCGGATTTCACATTAATTTAAAAAACCAACCAAAATGACCCCTCTCCGCTGCGAAGAGTACTAAGCACACAGGATCATATCCCTGCTCTGAGAAATGATGCTAGCACAGAGATCATTTCTCCTTGAAGGCTGCTCAGTAATCTCACAATAAAGGCAAAAGGGTGGTCAGTCCATCCTTACTGCAAGCAATAGATTTGCCTGATTGTCAGCTAGGCAGAGGGATCTTTGACAATAATAACAGATGCCCCACCAACACGGCCTGGACATGATGGCTGGGCTGGCTAGTGCCATAATCACTTAGTATGGGGTGTGTGACCCTCATTTGGCCCTGAAAAGCAGTAATAACCCATTCTCCCCCATTTCTTCTACTAGCTATAACCCACAACAGCAGAGACCTCTTCAAATGAATTGGGGAACCAGTCTTATTTACCCTCATCAAAGACGAGCCCGTCACCACCTGCAAAACTTAATAAACATAATGGCCAAAACATTTCATGAAATGCAATTTATTACAGGTAACTAGTTATAAGAAAGAGCCTTAATTATATTAAGGAAAACGACGCCACGGCTCCCAAGTCTTTACAGGTTCCAAAAATAATATGAGGAAAACTTACGTGATATTTTTACACTGCATTTACATGGTAGATTGACTTGAAATTAACGGGGCATAATCCCACCACAGGCCTTAATTCACTTACCAATGTAAGGGTGCTCGTGCATCATTAACACAGCTTCGTGAGCAGTCACTGAAATTAGCTAAATTTCAAGCTAAAATGCAATTATACTGTTTGTGTTTCTTACATTTAATGTCCCCTGCCAGAAACCCTGGAGAGCCACTGCCAAGCTGTGTCAACAGTATTGAGCTAAATGGACCAAAGGATTGCCTTCTCTAGTAATATATTGCCCAGTTAAAACAATGCCAACTGATGGCTTCCCAATCAGACTTTACATTTAGGGAGCAGGGGAAAGGTGGCAGTTTGGATCCCTTCCAGTCGGGATTCAGGCCTCATCATGGGACTGAAACTGCCTTGGTCGCACTGGTTGATGATCTCCGGCGGGCTAGGGACAAAGGTGAGAGCTGTTTCCTAGTTCTGCTGGATCTCTCAGCGGCGTTTGATACCATCGACCATAGCATCCTTCTGGACCGTCTTGAGGGGCGGGGAGCTGGGGGCACTGTTATACAGTGGTTCCGCTCCTTCCTCCTGGGCCGTGTTCAGAAAGTGGTGGTGGGGGATGAGTGTTCAGACCCCTGGGCTCTCACTTGTGGGGTGCCTCAGGGTTCTGTCCTCTCCCCCATGCTTTTCAACATTTACATGCAGCCGCTGGGAGAGATCATCAGGAGGTTTGGGCTGGGTGTTCATCAGTATGCGGATGATACCCAGCTCTACCTCTCTTTTAAATCAGAACCAGTGAAGGCGGTGAAGGTCCTGTGTGAGTGTCTGGAGGCGGTTGGAGGATGGATGGCGGCTAACAGATTGAGGTTGAATCCTGACAAGACAGAAGTACTGTTTTTGGGGGACAGGAGGCGGGCAGGTGTGGAGGATTCCCTGGTCCTGAATGGGGTAACTGTGCCCCTGAAGGACCAGGTGCGCAGCCTGGGAGTCATTTTGGACTCACAGCTGTCCATGGAGGCACAGGTCAAATCCGTGTCCAGGGCAGCTGTTTACCAGCTCCATCTGGTACGTAGGCTGAGACCCTATCTGCCTGCGGACTGTCTCGCCAGAGTGGTACATGCTCTGGTTATCTCCCGCTTGGACTACTGCAATGCACTCTACGTGGGGCTACCTTTGAAGGTGACTCGGAAACTACAACTAATCCAGAATGCGGCAGCTAGACTGGTGACTGGGAGCGGCCGCCGAGACCATATAACACCGGTCTTGAAAGACTTGCATTGGCTCCCAGTACGTTTCCGAGCACAATTCAAAGTGTTGGTGCTGACCTTTAAAGCCCTAAACGGCCTCGGTCCAGTATACCTGAAGGAGCGTCTCCACCCCCATCATTCTGCCCGGACGCTGAGGTCCAGCGCCGAGGGCCTTCTGGCGGTTCCCTCATTGCGAGAAGCAAAGCTACAGGGAACCAGGCAGAGGGCCTTCTCGGTAGTGGCGCCCACCCTGTGGAACGCCCTTCCAGCAGATGTCAAAGTGATAAATAACTACCTGACATTCAAGAGACATCTTAAGGCAGCCCTGTTCAGGGAAGTTTTTAACATGTGATATTTTATTGTATTTTTGGTTTTTATGGAAGCCGCCCAGAGTGGCTGGGGAGGCCCAGCCAGATGGGCGGGGTATAAATAATAAATTATTATTATTATTATTATTTCTTTTTCAAGGTGCTATATCTCTGTTGGTGACAAAGGCAGTTGTTGTTGTTGTTGTTGTTATTTTTACTTAAAAATAAACCCACACTGCAATTGCACTGCACCACACCATAAATGAAGTTTTTATGATTATACTCTAATGCCATGAGATTAGATATGGACTTCCTGTCACCAGCTAGGGAAGAACATGCCGTACAATGGCACAGAGATGGTTGGGCAGGGAGCCAGACTGCTGTGCACAGCAGAAACTCCTGATGAATGCAGTGCCAGACGGGACTAGCAGGGGCGAGTGTGGATTATTTCCTTGTCTTTTCCCAAAGACGCCCTTCCCCTTGCTCAAAACAAAACAAAAAGGGACAGGAAGGGACACTCTGTGGACATTCAGGAAGAAAGGGAATGCAAATATAGTCAAAACTGGACTTGCAAATTATTTTCTGTTCTGCTGCTTGTATGCATTTGCATTAAACTAGCCCACATGCCAACAACAATAATAATATATTTATACCCTGCCCATCTGGCTGAGTTTCCCCAGCCAGTCTGGCGGCTCCCAATCGAGTGTTAAAAACAATACAGCATTAAATATTAAAAACTTCCCTAAACAGGGTTGCCTTCAGATGTCTTTTAAAAATAGGATAGCTGCTTATTTCCTTGACATCTGCTGAGAGGGCATTCCACAGGGCGGGCGCCACTACCGAGAAGGCCCTCTGCCTGGTTTCCTGTAACCTCACTTCTCGCAGCGAGGGAACCGCCAGAAGGCCCTGAGCGCTGGATCTCAGTGTCCGGGCTGAACGATGGGGGTGGAGACGCTCCTTCAGGTATACAGGACCGAGGCCGTTTAGGGCTTTAAAGTGTGGCATTGAGGATAGTGCTGGATTGGGGCTTGCGCTCAATTCCCTGCTCAGTCATAGAATTCTACAGCTGGATGGGGGTCGTGACAGTCCCCTGCTCCTCACACAAAATAAAGAACTAGAGGACCTCCAACAGATGCTGTTTCAAAAACTCTACTCCACTCATAGAATCAGAATTGCATAATTTGAAGGGGCTCTGAGGGTCATCTAGTCCAGGCATGTCCAACTTTGAGTAGGCTGTGATCTACAATCCAGTATCAAAAACTGGCAGTGACCTACCACCCTCCGAAGTCATTGAAGTTTGTTAAATAAATAAATGGATCTTTATTTCACAGGTGCAATAGTTATGTTTGGATATCATCATGACAGATCCATATAGTTGTTAGATGGACAAGTAGCTAAACAAGTGAGAAAAGTCAAACTATATTTTTATTAGTTTACACAGATCTGAGGAGCCAGTCAGAGTGCTCCGGGGTTTTCCGCCTTTTTTCTACTGTTGCTTTAAATCGCAGCTGACTTTGTGTCAGCATCCCCACTCCCTTCATCCACCTCGTCTTTCCCCTACTGTTGCGTTAAAGCCTTTCCCTCACAAAGGGCCTTCTCAGTAGTGGTGCCCGCCTTGTGGAACGCCCTCCCATCAGATGTCAAAGAAATAAACAACTATCGGACTTTTAGAAGACATCTGAAGGGAGCCCTGTTTAGGGAAGCTTTTAATATTTGATTAATTATTGTATTTTAATATTTTGTTGGAAGCCAGCCAGAGTGGCTGGGGAAACCCAGCCAGATGGGTCGAGTACAAATAAATTATTATTATTATTATTATTATTATTATTATTATTATTATTATTATTGCATCACTAGCTGCATAGGAGCTAACTCCTAGGGGCCGCAGGGACTTTGGCCACCGCAATAAAATATTTGAGGGGGCCAGACCTCCACAAAGTTGATGGGCATTGCCATCCAAATGGTGTGCGTGCGCTGTGTCATGTGACACAGGGCAGGGCTTCCCTGGGCCCCCGCAATATTTCATTCAAGTAGGCACCCCTGACTCGGCACTTCCAGACTGTCATTATTTTCAGGTGGGGTTTAAGCACATATTGACAAATTCAGGTTGCACAATTAAATTTGATTTGGGGATCTTCTGCAGCAGACTCACTTACTTCTTCTAAAACTTGGGGTTTTTCGCAATAAGGAAAGTGTTACAAAAATGCATTATAAAGCGTGGGGTAACATTTGCTGGGCACAGCATCATCTCACTTCCCTGAAAACAAATCAGAAGGGAGGTTCATTGAATAGCAGGTGACACCTGACCTGCAGAATTTGTGCAAACGGATCAGGATGAAAGCTCAATAAACTGGTTGTCTGGAAGTAGGCGTGGAGAAATAGGTCAATTTCAGTTTCTCTCACTTTCTTGTTTTTCCAACCTTGAGTTTATTCTCTACATTTCTGCATCATCATTTCAATTTGAATTTCTCCTAAGTGAAGATTTCAATGGGAGGGAGAGGAATATGATCACTGTCTACCCCATAGGTGTATAAAGGAAGAGCTTTTATAAACCATTCTGTGGTCCTTAGATGAAGGGTGGTATATAAATCTAATAAAATAAATAAATAAATTGGCAGGATATGAAAGTTGACCACTTTACTGTTAGGCTGGAAACCAACCAACCATTTTAAGGACTCTTCCCTTCATTCCTTTTGTCCCAGGTCAACTCAGATCTAACTGGTCCACAGGTTTTTAAATGGTACAAAACCCTGAAACTCCTCCTTGCCATAAATGAAAACAGGGTACATTTATACACCCTAAGCAGCAAACCCTCTTTCAAATTGCTGTCAGTTCTTTCAAGAAAGCTATTGTTTGTCTCCAGCCTCAGTTTATGGGGCAGAAAGAAAATGGGAAATCGAAACAGTGGTGGTATTCTAGGCATTTGATGGGAAAGTCTTCTCATGTTAATCATGGTGAATGATTAGGTTATAAACCCTACATTTTAGACAAAACACTTCCTTTCAGTCAATGTGGATGTGTGTTTAATTTAGTCACAATAAAAAAGCACAATATAATTTATCAAGGGATGGGGGCAAGACTGCTGTGACCTTCAGAAGTACGTATTTGCTCATCCTAATCTGATGAAGCCCAGAAGTAAACTAGTTCCTTCTCTAATTACTTGGGACTTTAAATGGAAGAAACAATCCAAAGCATGTTCCCAGGCTCTCGTTTAAAGGACAACAGGACCTATGTGGCAGTGTGCATCAAGTTACAAAGCATAGCGATGAAACTGGAAGGAATAATGCAAGAGACTCTGGCACTAAGGGCCAAAACAAATGAAGCGCCCATCATGTACAGTATTTAGTAATTCTGTGACTGGCTTCTCAAAAGTAAATTACAGGCTTGGGACCACGCCTGATCTACAGCAGAGCCCTGGCATGTGGCATAGGAGAGTTTTAACTCTTTGCCCCCTCTGCAGTCCCCACACTGGCTATTTGCATAGAGGGAAAAACCTCCCACTTATTCCAATGGGAGCTTTCCCTTCAATGCAAATTGCAGGTCTTCAGCGGTGATTATGTCACAGAACCAACCACCTGAAGCAAATAATACATTGTCTGGATATGGTCCCTTCTTTTTACCATTATCTCACACTGACCTAATGTGGAACAGGTGGGAACTCTGTGGTGACAGGGCAACCCACACAAGATCACTAAAATGCTTTTGGGGCATGAAGCACTGAGGGTGGGTTGGCACTGCCATGCCCATTTTCTGAGGAAAAGAGTTGCTCCATCTAACTCATAACTGCCAACACTGACTAGCAGCAGCTCTCCAGGGTTTCAGGCTGGAGACAATTCCTGTCCTACATGGACATGCCAGGGATAAATACAGAGTATTTACCAGGATTAAGAATTGGGCATGTGCAACCTCTGTTGGTCCAAGACTCAGGATAGATGCTTCTGTTACTCCTCGTGATTTTCACTCTTCCCGATTTCAGAACCTTCTTGACCTTCACAATGACTTCTGCATGGGTTCCTTTGTCATGAGCGGAGAGGATCTTTGCTTTTATTACTGCCAAAGAGCACAAAAGGAAACACAATTAATTTTACACACTGGGCAATTTATTTTGCTGTGTTGGTTGGCAGAACCTGAAGACGTGGCTATAGCACATCTTAATTAATACACAAACGCATTAGCAGACTGCCTTCGGAGAGCTGTCATAGAATTTGGATAGTTTGTCTTAGGGAGAAACGACATATCTTGCTAATTATAGCTGTATACCGCCCTGTATCAAATGATCACAACATAAAACACAAATGCCAACCCATAACATAATATCTAGACAGAGTTATAGAAATTCAATCTCATACAGGCAACACACATCTTATGCGAGGGCTTCATTCCGGGGTCCCAAGCATGAAAACAATGATGCCTGAAGCCAGGAACGTCCAGAACCACCTCCACCCAGCAAGGCCGAGGGCTGCTTGCCCAGCTTTTGGAAGGGCGTAGAAGGGCTGCGGCAGGGTCCTACAGCTCTTCCACCTCCTTTCCAGCTCTGGGAAGGAGGCACAGAGGGTCTGGCAGTATCCCAGAACTCCTACACCATCTTCACAAAGCCAGGTAAGCCTGTGAGCGCAGCTCTGGCTGGGTGGGAGGAAAATAAATAGAAAGTGAGTTTACTCCGCTTTCGATAAGAGCCAACTCCTAGGGGCTGAGGTCCCTTTGCCCCCAAAAAATATTTGAGGGGGCTGCCCCCTGAAAAATGATGGGCAGTGCCATTCGTGTGTGTGTGTGTGTGTGTGTGTGTGTGTGTGTGTGTGTGTGTTGTGATCAATTATGCAGAGCAGGGCCTACCTGGCCTCCTCCAATATTTTATTCAAGTTGGCATTCTGCCGCTCTCCATTTATTTATGCAATTGTGTAAGTAAAATAAGTGTAAGATGAGCATCATCTATAATTGTTATTTTTATGGGAGCATTAAGTATCCGAGTTTACTTTGTGCAGACGTTAGGCTTCTCTGCTACAGACTTTGGAGTTTTGAAAGATGAAGAGCAGCAGGAAAGATGTTCTGGGGCTTCAATTGGTTCCCACTATTACAATGGGAGAAGGTATTTTACTCACTTACCGTAAGCATATTTCATCTGGCAGAAATTGGCGACGCTTCCTAGTATCCTTTCTTTGCAGACACACTTTTCTAGCCAGGGAATCGCAGGCCAGTGTTGAAGGAGGAGGGTCACATTAAGAAAGTGGGGTTGGGTGAGTTTGGCAAAGAGAGAAATCATTTTCATGTACACATGCACATACGCTTTCAAATATCGGAATGTTTTGTTGCTATTGTTTATTATTTTATTATCTATTTATTAAATTTCTATACCACCCTTTAAGTAAGGATCACAGGGCTGTTTAGAATATAAAAGGACAAAAATACATACTACACACAGAGTTTAAAAGGCCATGACAGAGGCCCATCACATAGGGCCACCAAAGCAGTTTCTGTGCCAAAACCAGGCCTAAACCCCAATTGAAATTGATCCAGAAAATCAATTTCCTCCAAGAATGCCTAGATTTGGTCCAAGAACCTTGCCCAAGAAGGTGAGTATGTCTTATTAAAATAGGTTTTAAAGAGAAATCATTTATTTGCAAATATGATGCTTAAATGGCAAAAGTGAAACACCACCCTATCTAGCCAAGCTTTCTAAGTAGGAAGCAAAACACTCTGCATGGAAATTATCACACAATTAATATATATGCTAAATAAAAAGAAAGTCAGAGATCAGACTCAAGTACCCTTCAGTCACTACAATAACTTATGACAAATACTCTGTAAATCTAAAACGCTCCACTCAATTGTAAAAGTAATAACTGGCATCTGTCCATTTCGTGCAACGATATAAATCCATACCTGGATGTCTTAGAGCAGAAAACCCTTGTTCGTGGTCATTCCACTGCCACTCATCTTCAGTTTCATTGGCTGGTGTTTGAATAAGGTCAGGGATTCTTCCACCAATGGGAATATTGAAAAAAGCCTGGTTGTCGTAACTGGGAAGAAGAGGACAACAGAACAAATGGAAATGGCACTTAGATCCCGGGATGTGATAGTCATAAGGTAGCCTCTGCTTCATTCACTTACTACTCAGTGACAGAGAGGTAATGCTAGCTCCAGAGTTTTGATAAGCAAAGTCAAGCAAGGAACATTTCTAAGAACCAATCGTTAGTGATTTCTGTGCAGAAAGATGCAATGATATTTTCTGTATCCTTCAGTTAGGCAATAATATCCTAATCCTGAGCAAGGACTGAACCAGCCTAGGGATTCTGCACATTATCAGTTTGTGATAAGGAGTTTGCTTACTTGTTGAGGCATTCTCCAGTGTGCTTGTCACAATCTCTGGCACAGTCACAAGGCTGGCAGCCATTCTCTCCAAATCCCCAATAGCCCAAGAGGCACCGGTCGCATTTGGGGCCTGCAACGCCTGGTTTGCAGAAGCAGAATCCTGTCTTTGGGTGGCATTTCCAGCTCTGGTTGAAAGTCGTGTTCACTGAGCCCATGAGGTGGCAGGAGCAAGCTGAATGGGAAAGCGCAGTGTGGAATGGAGAAGATTAGCCGACAGTCACCTGCAGGGACAGAATCTCTGCAAGGGCTTTATGTCAGATGCATAAACACAACATTCTCGGAATAGACTGCTTGCCCTTTAACTTCTTTTGAATCACCGATTTATAACTAAGAGACAATAGACCCAGGCCTTATTCTTAAGCTTTGCAAAGTTCTTTCTCAAACCCTACCAGGTTTTAACTATGAAATGAAAAAACATGTTGTGAGGGGCGATGTTGGTGGACCCATATTTAAGGCTGGCAAGCAATCTGGACCCCCTCAAGTCATTTTCAGCCAAGGTAAAAGAAAATACGATTAAGCTTCCTCAGGACTGGTATTTATATCCATCACAACTTTGTAGGATGTTAGAGGCTGGAGAGGGTACAAGGGTCCCTGGTTTCTTCTTGCATATGTGGTAGTCCTATCCCAAAGCTACTTCGTTTTGGCAGAAAGTGTTCCAAGAAACGGAATGCATAACTAATCAGAAACTTTCATCTGACCTTAAACTTGCTCTTCTTTTTCTTTTTGATTCTCGATCTGTAACAGTGTTAAGTAAAAACCTAGCTCCAGGTTGCATTCCTGGCCACCGCCTGCATCGGTGGACCATGCATAAGCTAGCCCCATTATGCCCCTTCCCCATTATACCCCCTTTTCCAGCCACTTCTGGGTCCGTGGAAATGAGCGTGCGCATGCTCAAGCATCAATCGGACACGTGTACAACAGTCACTGCCTGTATATACCTAATTGTGGCGGCTAAATTAATTATCGCCAAACACTGGAGACTTGTTGATGGAATGGTTCGCCCAAATTTGGACTTTGACATTAATGAAATGTTTGACACATGGACTCCAAGGGTAGAGGGATGAACACACTTCTGACAAGTTTAATGCTGTTTGCTCCAGTTTCCCTATCTATGCTACAACAAAAGAAAATGACTTTCATCTACCTAGTACACTTAGCCATATGTGGAATGGCACTTCAGGATTATTTGTGTCAAGCCAGTCAGATTGGGTGTCCTTCTTCTTTCTGTATTTCTTGCTCCTACACAATCAATTTTCAAATGACGCATTTTCAGACGATGATGATTTACTACTTATATCCCGCCCATGTGACTAGGCTGCCCCAGCCACTTTGGGTGGCTTCCAACAGAATATAAAAAAAACACAGTGAACCAGAAAGTGACATGCCTTGGCTGGTACCCTGAATGCACTTAAGTGGCTTCAATCCTATTGAAGGTGTTAGTGGAAATTAAGCAAATCCCTGGTTAGCAGAATTGCAACTTGAAGGCCATAATTCACATGGAATGGGAGATCTGTGATTGGATCTCCAGATATTTCTCTCTCCCGCCCCGCCATGTGTGGTTTTCAAGGGGAGAGGACCTTTTGCTCCATTTCCCCATGCTGTTTCCCCCAATGAAGTGTCCGCCTTCCACAGGAAATAACACATGCTCCTGAATCAGTCCTATGTTTAGCCCCTCCCGCCATGAGGACTAGTAGCAGCTTGGTTTAGAATGGGAAATGGAATGTGGGAGAGGGTTAAGCCAGGGCCAGCCCAAGACATCTTGTTGACTGAGATAAAAGGCAAGATGTGGTCACTCCCATTCCATGTACAAAAGCCAGCCTAACTTGCAGCTGGTTCTTACTTCAACATTGACAGTGGGGCAGAGTCCTCCACCACACCAGAGGGCAGCAGGCCGGCCAGGCACGACACCCCTCCGCATTTACCACTCTTCAGTGGCTGCTTCACTTTGTCTAACAGTAGGGCCGGCTCTAAATTAAGCCCCCTGTCCCTCACTAGTGTTGCTCTAATACAGGCATAGGCAAACTCGGTCCTCCAGATATTTTGGGACTACAACTCCCATGATCCCTAGCTAACAGGACCAGTGGTCAGGGATGGTGTGAATTATAGTCCCAAAACATCTGGAGGGCCAAGTTTGCCTATGCCTGCTCTAATAAAAATTGGAGCCCTGTTTCACTGCTAAAACAAAAAAGTCAGGAAATCTGATCATGCATTCCTGTGTCGTCAGTTGTAGACCTTACAGAAACCAAAGCTGTGTGCCCAGCCACTTGCTGACTGGCTGCAAGTAAGGTAAGCCGGCAATGCCCCATCTGCCCTAATGTGCATGTCTGTCCTTCCACCCAGCAAAATACCAAAAGAGTTGAAGAAAGTTCAGGGATGAACAGAGGTGACAGGAAGGGGAAGGCATGTTTATGTGTTTGCTGTTTGGGCTGGTTTATTTCCTTTCAATTCATTTTGCAGGAATGTCTGTGCATCCCTACCAATGAGAACTCTGTGGAGGAGGATTTGGCTAGCACCAGAGCATTCAGACTGTTATACAACACATTTTCCCTCTTACTGGTGATTAAGAGAGAATGTGTTCGATTATTGTGACTAATGCTTAGAGATTCCTTCTGAGCAGAAAGTCCTCTTCGCTTTTCTTCTCAGGAGCCTGAGGGCCTTTTCCAGCTTAACAGAGGGACTTTGCTCTGGATGGAAGAACACTCTTAAAGCAAGCTTTTCACGAAGGGATTAATGGGGTATTTCATTCAGCTTTCCCCCTCGGCCTTTCCTTCTCCAACCCAGTGCCCACGGGAGAGACAATGGCAGTTTCCGTTCCCTCTCTCCCTTCCCCAAAGCATTTCTTCCTTTCTCACAACGGGGCTGAGAACTCCATTGCTCATCCCACAAACATCTGTGCAATCTGCTGTGACAAATTTGTTATTTTCCTCTTTGGTATCCGCAGCATTTTTAAAATTATTTTTATTTTGTAAGCCGGTGGATATTTAACATGGCATTTCTCAGCCAAAATAAGCTGAGGGTATGAGTTACTGGTACATCGCAAACCCTCCGGTCTTTTGCTGAAGGTCAGCAGGACAGGGTGTGGTACAAATCGGAATTGTGAGGTAGGATGAAGGCTGATTAATGCCCAGTTAGTAGGACCAGGAGTAGCTGGTAAGGCTGTGTTGCTCTCCCGTCTCTGAACATGGTGTGGCAAAGCCTCTTACTGAGAGGTGGAAGGGCAGGGCAAAATGAGCTTGGCACAGTGCGGGCATTATGGGGGAGACAACCCAATGTTCCTGCCACTGTGTCTGTGCTGTGCCCACACTGTGCCAAACTTCTGATGCCTTGCCCCTCCACCTCTCACTATGTGGCACTGCCACCTCACCTGTGCAGCTCCATTGGCTGCGACTGAGTAGAATTGTACACAGTCAACACACATAGAAAGGGGGCACAGGATGGCAACCAGGAGCTCTCCCCCCACATACACGTTCAGCACAACTTGTGAAGGAACCTTTGTTTGTACAAACTCGCTATACGTAGGCTCTGCATGCTTGATATGTGACAGAAGAGACTTTTTCCACAGAATGCGCGAACAGGGAGCAGAACTTGTTGGAAAATTGAAAGGAATAATTTGAATCTGACATATTTTTCAAATATTGCCAAACTCAACCTGCCGCCCAGAGTGGCTGGGGAAACTCAGCCAGATGGGCGAGGTATAAATGATAAATAATAATAATAATAATAATAATAATAATAATAATAATTACTACTACTACTACTACTACTACTACTATGTGAAATTCAAAAATCGCATCTCAAGTTTTACTCCACAAGTCAGGTACTTCAGACTTGTTCGCATCTTGTCTGTTTTGATTTTGGCAGGTGGCAAACTGTGACATATTAGAAGTAATCAAATACAGTTGTACTATGGAAGTTGAATGGAATCCATTCTGGAAATCAGTTTGACTTCCAAAACGTTCGGAAATCAAAGTACAGAAACCGTGGAAGCCCCGTCGGATGTGTGGCTTCCAAAAATAGTTCGCAAACCGGAATACTCACTTCCGGGTTTACGGTGTTCGGGAGCCAAAACATTTGAGAACTAAGCTGTTTGAAAACCAAGGTATGACTGTACTAAATACTAATGCACATGTCAAAGACTTGCATGTCAGTTAAAATCTTGAGCAATCTTTTTTTTTTTAAAAAAATGTCTTAAATGTGGCTCGATAACTGCTTTTGTTTCTGATGTTTTTGATCTGTTTTATATTTGTTTTATGGTTCTCTTTTATAGGCTATCTTGGAAATCTAGATTAATAAAATTATGATTTTTTTAAAAAAAAACTTGTCTGTCAGCCACCAAATACTATAAAGAACAAACCATGAATGCATACCAGCTATCAAATCAAATATTACCAAATAATTTTACTAGACTTGCTGACTATCACATAATGTTAATGATCAAATACTGAAATCAAATCCCACTGGATATCAAATACTGTTTGTGATTTTCCCTGAATATTCAGAAAATATTCAGAGGATATCTGGAAAGCATTGAAACATCAGTATTCCCAGAAGTGAATGCTGAAGAAAATATTTGCGAGAAGATTTGTCTTAGAGCTAAGGCAGCCATATTAGATCAAAAGCCATTTGGAAAACTGAGCTTCAGTTTCATTCAAGTTGGCTGCTTTGTAGTTGATTCCATAGGAAATAATGGTTTTGCTCCCTTCTGCTCTTTAACTTAAACATTTACCCCACTTTGGTACTCAGGCACAAATCTTTCAACTGCTATGAGGTTTGAAATCTAATCTTGTGGTAGGGTGGCTTTACAAAGCTTACTTTCCCTAAGATTTCTCAAGAGTTAAGAGAAAGGAGCTACAGGAGAAGTCACTGGGTGTCATGCAATATGGTCAGGTACACCAATAGGTTAGCTCGGCAGCTCCTCGTTCCTTGTGCTTTCACGAAAGGTTAAAAGTTGGTGAACAGGGCAGGGAGGGGGACGGAGGCTGAGCCAGCACTAGCATTTCAGAAGAGGCAAACACAAAAGAGCAGAAACAGAGGAAGTGTTGTGAACAGGGCCATTCAAGCAATACCGGGGCCCTGTGGAAATTACAGTGCAAGAAGCATAAGAGTTCAAAGGAAACCTGTATCAGGTCTACCAAAGTAGCAGCAGAAGACCAGAAGCAAGGCAGTAGGGTGGAGACAGATACAGGAATACTAAAAGAGTAGACTGACATTGTACTTCAAATGACAGATGTGCTTTCTAGCGAATCAAACAGTGGCCCAGCAGCCTTTCTTGCCCTGCACTGAAATTCAGAATTTTCTTCTTTCTTCAGGTGCTGCATGAATCCCAAAGCATTCATCAGTTCGTTTGCTTCCACTTATATCTTTTGAAAGGAAATGTATTAGAGTGCATAGCTGTTCCAGTGACTGGGGGAACATTTCACATGTCACGATGGCATCCCTGATCAGCATGTACTGCTGGTTTCTCCTACAAATGGGCAGAACCGTTTTTTATACCAGAGCTTGACCCTGGAGAAGGGCAGGCATACAGTGATGGCACTTTGAGATAGGCTCTACCAGTTTGTACATGTTGAAACTCCCCTCCCCCCCCCGTCAAATTCACTGGTAGTTTTGAATCAATCAGTTACTTTATTATATATAAATATGACTAAAACAAGTGTGCTGATGACTTACATTTAACAATGGGGAAGAAATTCAGTCCAGTTTTCTTTTTAATATCTAATTCACATTTCTCAAATGAATATGCAAGCAGAAATGCAGTTATCATTCCAAATTTGCTCTTCTCTGAATTTTGCAATTCAGTTTTCCAACAAAATAATGTGTATTAAAATGCATATGTTTGGGAAAAGGGTACATAAAATGCACGTGTTTGGGAAATAACATACAAAAATACATCACCTTAGGGGAAATTGTTTGCAGAAAGGTGTGTAATAGTCACACAAAGTGCATACAAAAATGTGTACTTCGGGCCCTGTATACCTGAAGGAGCATCTCCACCCCATTGTTCACATTGGACGCTGAGGTTCAGCTCCAAGGGCCTTCTGGCAGTTCCATCATTGTGAGAAGTGAAGGCACAGGGAACCAGGCAGAGAGCCTTCTTGGTAGTGGCACCCACCCTGTGGAACACCCTCCCATCAGATGTCAAGGAGATAAAGAACTTCACAACCTTTTGAAGACATCTGAAGGCAGCCTTATATTGGGAAGTTTTTAATATTTGATGGCTAGTTGTGTTTTTATACTATGTTGGAAGCCACCCATAGTGGCTGGGGCAACCCAGTCACATGAGCGGGGAATAAATTATCATCATCATCATCGTAGAAATTCACATTATAATGCCAATGAACTTTCATGTCTTTAAAAGCAACAGCACTGCAGCCTGCTGCAGAAATGTGAAGAAATAAATTTATGATGGAAAGAAAAAGTGAAATCCAAATTGGCAGACCCACCCATCCTCACTTACGTTTGCAAATCTCCGGCGAAGACATGGGTTTCCCTTTGTCTCTGTAAAAACCAGGCTTGCACCTTTGACACCGGTAGCCCTCTGTGTTGTGCTTGCAGTTGTCACAGACACCTCCACTCTGCTTTCCTGATGCCAACCAGACGCTCAGGTCAAAATGGCAGCTCTCAGCATGACTGTGACAGCGACACTCTGTCCAGAGCCCAGGGGTGAGGGGGAGAGGGAAAAGAAGAAGGAGAAACATGATTTTTACTCACACTGTAGTACAAGTGAATAGAACTTAAATGTGGGGTTTTCCCTCGCATGGATTTATTTAGTCCTAACATTTTAGTTAAGAGCAAGGAAACGCTGGGAAGATGTGTAAAGAAAATCCAGCGACGTGAGTGGTGTTTTCTGGTCAGCCGCTTTAAGGGTTATTGTTGCTGTTATTTTACAACTAAGCACTATACGAGTTTTATGAAACAAACAAACAAATTATTCCTTTTACATTTCCCTCAATCAGTATGAGTTAAGAAAAGGCAGGATTTGCAGGGGTAGGGCAGAGACTGAGTAATTTAAGTGATAAACCTACCTCTTTTGTGCTGATAACCAAGCACTTATTGTAATCATATTTGCAAAACTGATTCCACATAAAGTTTGTTGCCTTTTATTAGTATATAAGATGTAAAACATGAGAAGAGCTTCACCCACCCCACCCCATTCTGATAAAAGGGATGTAAATATTGTCTCTGGGGCTGCATCTAGCCTGAAGTATCTGTGATGTTCAGTCCTCGTCCCTCAAATACCCCACCCCACTCCACCTCAACTAGTTTAAACCAGAATCTTTTTTTGGAAGAGTGACTTGTACATTAGGCCAATAAAAGTAAAATTGGGCAATGATAGACACATCTCCATCTAGGCCACTAACTGCGCCATAGTTTTAAGGCGAAAGGATCCCTAGAGGTTAGAATTTTGATTATGGAAAGCTTAAACCTCTAGAGTTGAGCCTCTTTAACTCTGATTTTAAAAACCTCACGGTAACTGGAGTTTTGCTTTATCCAATGTATTCTTTTCAATCACTATTTCAACTAACATACCCATTCTGAATATATTATTTTCTGAGGAACAGTGGTAGGACCTTTACCATTTTTAAAAGCACCTTGAAATGAAGTACTACTCTTTTGACGAAATGAAATAAAACTAGAAAGCCGCTAAATTATGTGAACCGACCTGAGACCTGCGGGTATAGGGCGGTATATAAATCCAATAAATAATAATAGATAAATAAATCTACAATGGTACCTGCTGAGAAACAGATGGACTTTTTAAAATCTATATATTTCCCCCTACTCTCATCGTAGGCCCAAAACTCTAGTAGGCAATGCTAGGGCAAAATCTCTTTGAAAACCAAAGCTTTACTCTTTGTACCCTATTTTACAATATATCACATAGGCCAACCACATTTGCTCACACATGCACACACACATATAGAGAGAGACTGAAAGGAGTTTCAGGCAGTTGCTTGGCAATCCCGTTCCCCATCTGTCGCTAGAGCATCGTAAATCCCAACTCCATGAATTGGCTGTTATCGGGCTTTGCTGCTGGGTGGAAAGATGGATTACATCGCAACCCTTCATCTCTACCCTCTCTTCGCCATACCCACATACTTCTGCATTCATTTGGTGTCCCCGTTTTTCCATCGCCTGGCTCCCATGGCTGGTCATTGTACAATGGCGCGCACCTCTCACAATGCTGTCCTGCAGTGTTATGTCTGCACATGCACTTCCCATGGACCTGTCAAAGAAAGCAACAACAACACACACATTCAGAAAACGATAAAGCGCTAAAATGCACTAGCTAAGAGGTCTTTTTGGTGGAAGAACACGCATTCATTGCATCCCAAAGGGCTGCTCATTGGAACCCCTCTCCACTTGGACGTCCAAAATTTGGAAGGGGCAGAGGGACGACGGCGACTCCTGCCCCTTTCCCAAGCCCAAAGCTCCAGGCCCCATTGGCCACAGCGTCTTCCAGCAGTTCCAAGATGGATGGCAGTGGCAATATCTTGAAACAGCCTGATCTGGTCCTACTGGAGAAGGCCTAGCTACAGGCTTACAGGTGACATGCTGAAAGAAATGTGCACCTATTCTTCCTTCTGAGAAGAAATGAAACCTCGTGGGTCTGAAAAATCTGCAAAAATGTGAATCTGCGCCTAATGCTTTAATGCAGAAGTGTGTCACTAGCTCTCACCTGGCCACCTCTTTGAGACCAAGCCTACTTGGGTTTTAGCAGGACACACAGGCACTGACAGCCTAAAATAATTATTTAGTGGGCATTGCAAAGGGAGAGAAATTGCTTCAAGTGCCATTTGTTATCATTGCAGAAAGCCAAAAAGGTAAAGGGACCCCTGACCGTTAGGTCCAGTTGTGGACGACTCTGGGGTTGCGGCGCTCATCTTGCTTTACTGGCATACAGCTTCCCGGGTCATGTGGCCAGCACGACTAAGCCGCTTCTATCACACCTTTCTAATGCTCATTACACTACTTGGTTAGGTAAAGGTAAAGGGACCCTTGACCGTTAGGTCCAGTCGCGGACGGCTCTGGGGTTGCGGCGCTCCTCACTTTATTGGCCGAGGGAGCTGGCGTACAGCTACCGGGTCATGTGGCCAGCATGACTAAGCCGCTTCTGGTGAACCAGAGCAGCACACGGAAATGCCTTTTACCTTCCCACCGGAGTGGTACCTACTTATCTACTTGCATTTTGACGTGCTTTCGAACTGCTAGGTGGGCAGGAGCAGGGACCAAGCAACAGGAGCTCACCCTGTCGCGGGGATTTGAACCACCGACCTTCTGATTGGCAAGCCCTAGGCTCTGTGGTTTAGTTCACTTTATTTTCCTTTTCCCTCACATTTTCAAATGTCTTTCTCTCTTTTGTTTTCAAATATGATTTTTAAAATATGGAAGAGGTCTCCCAGTCACCCCCCTCTGTAATTGGTTGTGAGATGAATGAAAATTGAACTGAATGGGCCCCACTGAGTTCAATTTCCCAGTCATCAAACACCCCCCCTGCACCCCTAAATTCCTTCCACCGCCCTCTCTTGCACATGGGGTTGGGGTACCAAATGTTGCAGCCGTGCAGCCATGCTTCTGCCTCACTGCATATTATATACAAAAGTGGAGCCTGAGATTTCAGTTCTGACTGAGGCATGAATCTAATCTAAATCCCTTTAATCTTGCTACTAATGCCACTGGCAGTTCTCTATGGTGTTTAAAGGGGGGGGGCAATTGTGTTTCATCTGCTGCAAGGCCTATACATGTTGTTGCAGGTGAGAAACTGGTGAGACGTATTCTTAAAAAATTAAATTTATAGATACATCTCCTCTACGCTCCTCTCTGCTACCCTTCACCAGCTTGCTCCCTACAGCAATCCCCCCCTCCCTCTCTCCTAATCCCTTCAGATCAGATGTGAGGACACAGGCTACATGGCTGATGCCATTGCTCCTCTAGAGCCAGCTGGCAGATTTTCTGTGCCCAGAGCAGTTTGCTGCCTCCTCACGGAAGACTGAGCAGAGACTTCGGGGTATGCATTTCTCTCCCTCTCTGCACTTGGCTGCAGTCAGCCTCAGGGGAGGATGGAAGGGACAGAGTACATTGTACAGGAAGCCTCTAGGGATTCGTAGAAGAATGCCTGTGTTCAAAACCCCGAACCTGCTTTTAATTTGAGAAGGGAGAAAGAAAGAAAGAAAGAAAGAAAGAAAGAAAGAAAGAAAGAAAGAAAGAAAGAAAGAAAAAGAAAGAACAACTGAATAACTGTCACCTTAGTATTTCAGTGTGTGAAGACCTCTTTTAAACCAAATAAGTTATACAGTCATACCTTGGAAGTCAAATGGAATCCGTTCCAGAAGTCCATTCAACTTCCAAAATGTTTGAAAACCAAAGCACGTCTTCTGATTGGCTGCAGGAAGCTCTTGCAGCCAATCAGAAGCCCCAGAAGCCCCGTCGGACGTCCAGCTTCCAAAAAGTTGCTCGAAAACTGGAGCACTCACTTTGGGTTTGGATCATTCGGGAGCCAATTTGTGTGGTGTTTGCGATCCAAGGTGTTTGCGATCCAAGGTACGACTGTCTATCAAGCAGAGATGGGTCAATGGGTCCATTTTGGCTTCTCACAGTTTCTCACTTTTCCAGTCTTAAGTTGGGTTCCCTACATTTCTAAATCAATTCCACCCCTCTCAAAAAGTTTAGCATTTTGGGGTGGATGTTTGCAAACAATTTATGCCTACTATACAGAAAGTCAAGTTTCCTGATATAATGCATTTTCCATGTGTTGTTTTGTGACTATCTACTTGTGCCTTATAGGCTCCTTCCGGCAACTCCTGCAGCCAAGCTCTGCTTTCTTTTGGACCACATCAGCAAGGCTGAGATGGGGTCTTGTTGTCTGGGCAGCCCAGGACCTCCATACATACTGCATAGTCTTGCTCCCTAAGGAGGTCACTTTGGTGCTGCTAACACAGAGACTTGACTTCACACCTGAAGGCACACTCCATTGTCTCTCAAGACAGACGCCAGCAACAACCCAAGCATATGCATTTTTGTACACATCATTTGGCTGGAGAACTGCAAAATTCAGAGCAGTTATGAGTCTCAAAGGATGGATGCGTTTCGATTTGCGTATTGCTTCAGAAAGTGCAAATCAAATAAGTTTGTTGTCAAACTGTGAACTTAATCAAATTTCTCCCCCATCCCTAATACCAAGTGCAGGACTGAAAAAAAAAAGTTGGGATGGGATAAAACAGGAACAAGAAAACCACAATTCCGTGCCAAGGAAAAAAATTATGACTCAATCCTGTTGAATGCTAGGGACTTTCTGGTTAATTCAGAAGTAAAACATTTTAAGCCAGATGCATCACTTAAAACAACAACAACAAACAGCCTTGAGAACCATGTAGACTTCATTCCTCTGCATGTCTGGCATGACAGACACTTTGAAAGAGAAGTCTTCCCGTATCTTTTTGATTGGATGAAGAACTGGTGGCTTAAAAAAACAAAAACGATATTTGCTTGCTTGCTTGAAGGTGATATAAAATTGGGAAGCAATTTGGCA